GATGAGCTTCCAAATGTCAATTGCTGATCAGTCCTAGGCAGAAGGGCACATACTCAACGTGTTTGTAGCCATACTTGTGGCAGACGCCGGGTTCGACAGGTGTTGAGTGGTTCTTCTGGGCATCTTTCCCGTGCTCCGTGCTTCCTTTTCCTCATATAGCCGTGCATCGCTGTTCATGAACGTAAATTGCACCATGATTGTCATGGGCGAGGGCTCTGACGTGGAAGGGACGTGGTGTTGGTTACTATGACCCGAGATGCGTGGACGGATGAGCAGGCCGTTGAGGACATCGAGTGTCAGTTACGTGGCGACAAATATGCCGAGAGCCCGCGCACTAGCCGCCCCGGCGCTCCACAACGGCCAGCGCAGCAACGGCTGCTCCAAGCGATCCTAGCTCCTGTCAGCAACACCCTGGAAGGGCAGTACCAGCGGAGAAGTCGAGCCATTCAAGCCGTCATCGTTTACTGCAAAATTGTAGAGGTCCAACCCGTACACGCCGGTCGCACTGACACCAGTAATGCCTCTACTGATTATGCCAGGCAGGAAACGTCGTCCTTAGCCCAAGCTGTGTCGTCGGTGTTCATTGAGAGTAGCAAAGAGCGATCTAACAGATGTTTTCTGTGCATCGGGGCTGCTCTATCGCTAGAATCGGACGACCCAAGTGTGGAGAGATTGATTCGCGCCTTTTCCTCTCCTGGTGACCTGACAAAACATTTCCGACGCCGGCACCTTTCCAATCTGGCTTCAAACACACGGCCAGAATGCAAGGTGTGCAACGTGGTCCTAGCTCACAAGATGCATCTCCAGAATCACGCGCTCCTGATCCATGGTACAAGGTCTTGACAATCCGCTCGTTCACAAACTGGGCCGAACTATGTCTGTTTCCAGTTCCTTTCTTCGATTCAGCGTAGGATACTGAGTTTTGCCAACATTATTTTGACACGGGGAGCGTCTGATCTTTCACGAAGGCGACTGTAGAGGGTATTTATGCCAGGTGTGGATCATGGTATCTTACAGAGTCACTAAAGGAAGTAGTCAGGTTATTTTTATTTTTATTTATTTTCATCAAGGACTACTAGGTACATGTAACATGGAGGAGGAATAGCAGTTGTGACGAACCAGCGAATATGTCATAAATGATTTCTCAAGGTGCTTAGTCCTACCTGCACAGTGCGCAAATGGTTCTGACGTGTATTTACGTATTTTGATCGCCTGACATCATCGCAGTCCCCAGAGCTTTTGTTGTTTTGGGCTTTCAAGCCATTGTGTTACCGCACGTAAATGATGTAAAGCGTGACTCCAAGGCGTTTTGAAACTCTGACGGCGGGACCCACTACGCTCAGACAATCCTGGTTCAGCCTTGTATTGAACTCCTTTACATGAGAAATATAACCCCATCAGGGTTCCTGAGTTGATTTCTTGGGGAGACGGCCCCTCCTCAGACAGTATTGTGAGGCGTTGGTAGGATTCAACTGTACTGGCAGAGGGAATGCTTTGTCCACGTCCTCTCGTGGCGTGGGCCATAGCGCTGTGTCCGAAGATATATACTCATAGAACTTGCCGCGCCGTACCAAGATATAGACGTCTGCGGCGTATCGGGACCTGATATCATCACCTCTTCGAAGTAAGGTTTTGCAAGCTTTCAGAAAGTTCTCATTGCTCCGATCACGTTTGCTGCGAGACTCTGCCGCGAGACTTGAATCTGCCGTAGCCATATTCACTCGATATGTGTAATATCAATAGAGGAGAATTGGACGTAGTATAGAAGAACTGGAAGGGAACTGTTTCGTGAAAAAGCTACATGAAGTGCATTGGCATTGCGGTCCCCATATTCAGCAAGAGTGTCATGATTCCTTCCAAATATGGCTGGGAATGCCAGAATGGGTTTACAGAGCATTTTTCTTTTCCTGGAGTTTGAACAAAATTGTTCTTTACCCTCTATGGCCCTGAAGGTCCGGTAGTGGACTCTTCACGTAGCATACGACCTTGAAGTCATATATAATATCCATGGAATCCATTGTTAAGGATACACTGTATGTGCTCAAAACCTCCAATTTGTGATCTCTGTGTCTAGCTGCAATTGATTGATGTTGCAGCACTGGAAACGGCAGTACGAGATTGAATAAAATGCCGTACAATAAGAACACTTTTGTGACAATCATGCTTCGCTTGCATGAGCCAGGTAGAACCCAATAGCGAGGAGGTTTATGCGGGGTAGTATGCTAGGGATCATCTGTGTACCTAATGAATGCCTTCCTATATACACTACCCATTCCTTTCCTTACGGCCCTTCGACACTTGAATATCTGTCGGTCAGCTGTCTGTCAGTTGGCCGGCTCCGTAATGATTGATTGGCTGTCGTTCGTGGGCTGCGCCGCGGCCATTTGAGGAAGCTGAGTTGGTGCCACCCAACTGTCTGCAGCAGGTACATTGCAACAGAACCAGCTGACGCCCTTCTATAAGTCTACTAGTTTTACGCGATGATACTTGGTGGATGAACGTATGAGGTGCGCGAGGCCGTCATGAAAGACTTTGATATGAGATTCCCTGTCATTGAACTTGCGACATGCCTCCATAGCTATTCAAATCATAGTTAACCCATTGCCTTTGCTCTTACTGAGACTACCGTAAATGGAGTGACGTGGGACGGTCAGCAGGCGAGTATTGCACTAAACAGGAGCACTAGAGCCTGCATGCAAACGTCATTAAATCTGGATAAATCCCGATGATCCTACAAGTGGACTCATTTATAGTTAGCTGTGCGACACTGGGAACTACAGGGCTAATGAACGAGTCTCAATCCTTGTTTGCATGTTCCTCTCAGGACAAGCTATGTAGCAAGCCTCGGCGGTAGTGTAATAACTGCATGAGACATGTTAGGTTAGGTGAATACGACAGTCGTTTGATCACACAGCTATGGAGTCTCGCGAGACTGTGACCGCGCCTATCGCCTCTAAGAGCTTCTGAGCAAGTACGGACGAAGGTTTGGTACAGCAGATGGACGGACCGAGCAGTTTCTACATGAGAATATGCCCTGAGTTGTAGGTCTAGCCTGAGCAACTTGAACTAATGGGTGAGCAACCTGAGTCACAGGGTGAGCAGCCTGAGTCACAGGGTGAGCAGCCTGAGTCACAGGGTGAGCAGCCTGAGCTAAGGGGTGAGCCGCTATATTGCGCTTCCGACATCGGAGCAGTCGCCTCGATGCCTGAAATGGCTTGAACGAATGTATAGGTCCGAATATGTTCCTCAAGAAACGTTCAAGCGAAAAACGCTGCTCACTCCCTACCAACTAAGCTGCAGTACCTGATAGCTCCAATAATTGACACTGAAGCGCCAAGCATAGGATGTGCCGCTGGAGCCATTTTGCGTCAGGTACTCAGCAGAACTGTACCCGCTACATAAAATATTTTCAATTTATCAAGTCGTGACTCCAAAAGAGGTAATACTTCCCAAAATCCTAAAAAGCACCTTCTGTCAGTATAAAAAGCATAAGTGCCTCTAGATCAATAGAAATCCAGAGTCCCTTACAGAATATGGATGCAGGCAAAATGATTTTCAACCCATCAGTGGCTACAATTCTCACGGCGTCTTATTTGACAGTCTGCACCGTATCACTATACTTTTCTTGGTCTTCCTTCACTCAAGTGAGCAACGAAACACAGGGAATATTCACTATAAAGGTACTGATTTTGTGGAGGCCGGCAATTTAAGCTAATGAAGCATAGTTCTCGAATCTCTTCAGCGGAGTGCCTCAGCTTCGAGATTTGAATATCGAGAATCCAACCAATGTAATTCAAGGCTTGCCATCAATCACGGCTGCAGGGAGCATGCCCACCATTGTGATCAGTGAGGGCAGCAATGCGGCCACAAGTATCGTAGGCCAAGCCTCCAATTTAGTCACTAGCGCTGTAACAGCCGGCGAATCACTAGTCTCTGAGGTCACTCCTCGCAATTGCTCATTGGGTACTCGGTCTGCTTGTGTCGGATATTCATCTCACTCTGATTGCTACAGCCTACCTCTAAATGGTTCAGATCCCTTCACCAGTATATTGAGGAAGGTCGCAAAGCCGGCTTTCTCCTTGAAAATTCTACAAGCAATACCCTCGGTGAAAGAGCTCATAATTGTAGGAAGTGTTTTTGTCCTTGTCTCGCTGGTCGGACTGATACGCAAAATGCCATTTTCTCGAATTTTCCTCTTGTGTTGTAGCGCAGCAAGTATGTTTTTCTTCCTGATCTCGGCATCTTTTATCTGGGCTTCGATACACGGCTTTTCTGTTTTAGCGTCTGCAGTCGATGCAAAGCTAGAAAATGGGCCAATGCTTATGGTATCCATCGTAACATTCATTTGCGGTGTGGCTAGTATTATACTATCGTTCTTGCTGTTTCTTTGGGATTAGTCAAAAGATTTTCAGATCAGGTAGCCATCATAGCACCAAATTTTGATTTTGATGACTTTTAGTGGCGCTGGTCAGCTTAGGCTCCCAATCCTAACTAATTCTTCAACTACGTTTGTCGCTGCACCCTGTCCGTGGTGCTGGCTGCAAACCCGTCTTGTAATTCAAATGCAATCAGAAAGGGATATCAAAGCGTAGGCATCTATTAACGCCCTTTATGGCTTGGTTCGCAAATGGCTATCTTCACTACTACGCACATAATGGTCGTATGAGGATTCAGCTAGCTTGTGCAACGCAGGCGTGAACCTGTCACATGAAAACGGGTGAATTCGGGACAGGTATATTGTTTACGTAGCTACGGTTACTCTGGCTGATACATAAAAGGTGTGTCTCGGGACCGCACTATATATATTAAATACAATAATTTCTAGTACCTTAAACTGAACTCAGCATCGACTACCGTGTGGGATGCCTTTATGGCTCGCTGACGATACACCACATAGATGACCATTTCGGAAAAGCGAGACAGTTCGTAGACGCCGAGAGGAGGTCCGATAATGGAAGGAGTCTGAGCTTTGACGATATGAAGAGCACACGCATACTGGGCCCATTCCACCCTGGCTTCGCAGATCAGCGCCTCAATTGCTATGTCGCACAATGCGACTCTGAGTTCCAAACCTCCTCTAAAATCCATACGGCATACAATTTTGGAACCTTTTAAACTCCGTTATAGGCCGTTGGGAGTTTGGAATCGCAGATATATGTTATATGTACCCTATGCCATGTACAAGCCCCTAGATGTGTATTCTACAGAGCACTCAGCAAAATGAACCATAGAACACTCCACAAACCTCAACACAGTGGGAGCGGTTACACGCTAAAAGCTAGAAGAAATTCATTGCAAGGTAAAGCACTCTACCCATGATCATGGAAATCTTGAGCTTTGATGGAATATTGCCCGGCTATTCTTCATCATCTAATGAATTGAAGGATTACCCAACGAACTTCTTTGCTCAATCACAAAAATCATATCATATCGTGACGGCTTAGCTCTTTCCTTAACTTGTCGCAGTATGAAAGAGAGGATTTTACCGCGACTCTACATCAACGATGCCCAGGATAGCCCTCCTGGCGCCACTCCTTTCGCCTTGCAGTTCAGTTGTTGGCATGCAAGGATGAATGCCTACGAATTGTCAATCGATGCGATAAAGCGAACAAAGAAGGACTTGCGCGATATCATAAATCGTGTGTTTGACGTCAGAAAACTAGACAGATTTGGGGCTAGGAGAGGCGTCGTTACCACAGAGGACTACGGCCTCATTGCGATATACTCAGGTGAACCCAAGAGGCTCAGTACTCTTCTAAGTCTCTGCTCTCTACGTGGGAGCACAGCCATTGCCGATTCTCTTATTACTGAAGGCGCTGACGTCGACATCACGGACGCAAAAGGAAACACTCCCGTGCATTATGCCTTGAATGAACATATGGTCAGTTTGCTTCTGCTTTTCTCACTACGAATTAGTTCATTGCGACGATGAAAAGTCACAGGAATATGCACTGACGGCATACGTATCGCTGCAGGCATGTCTGCTCGTGCATCGAGGTGCACGGGTTGATGGGAAACTCGAAAAGAACAAACAAGGCCCGTTAGTATCCCTCATACGCATCCACTACCTCCAACATCATGGCTGTATAGCTGCACCTTCCAAGTGGTACAGCACCCTGCACCGGATGAATAGTGACGGGGCCTTTGATCCTCGGCATTTAGTCCCAGACACACTCTCCACAATACGATACCTTATCCGGGCTGGGGTTGACGTGTCACCGAACACGAACGACCCTCGTCGGCTGCCTTTGGCACACGCGATTCACTGTCGGGATCCTAAGATTGTCGAACTCCTTCTCGCAGCCGGCGCTGACCCCAGCCCGACTTTTGTGGTGGATGGCAACAGGGAGAAGTATCTGTTCTTGACTGAAGCCATCTATTTCAGCACTCCCCATATTGCCCGAATTCTTTTGGAAGCAGGTGCAGCCCTAGAGGAGTCGCCTGGTAGCGCACAAGAACCTCCCATACTAGCTCTCAGCTGTCAAGTACACCGCGAGAAAGAATTCATCGACGTGGCGCGTTCAATCTGTCAACGTATACAGGATATTGATCGGCCAATCAAAGGTAATTCAGCACTCTGGTGGTCTTTGAAAACTGGCACCTTTCAAATTTCCAAGATTCTTCTGCAGAACGGCTCATCATGGGGGTCCAGAGGTGTTTTCATGCGTGCCAAAGTGGTGGAAACACTTCTAACAGCATTACTTTCAAATGGCACAGCACACGGCACAGATGCGGATCGTGGATCATCCAGGCGAACTAGTCATCTAGGGCTATAGATTGTAAGCGTTATGCATATCACCTGTTATCATAGGCTACCGAAAAAGCGAAGTATGTGCTGCGGCCGTCTAGTTTCAAGTTATCAAGATTGGTGTGATTGTTTGCTAAGTCCACTTGTTGGCATACCGACGATTGAAATAGAATTGCCTAATCGCAAATAGTACCTTCGCAAGTAATACTGTTACCGATCCTCCCACAATACGTTTCCCTTCTTGTCTATCAGCCGCAACAGAACTTCCCCTCTGCTTGAAAGTCTCGATAACCCCCTGAGATTAGCCATCCCTTCTGCTCTTGTAACCGTGCCAATACATATTTCTTTCCAACTGTTGACAACCATGATCATCCGTGATCCATATCACGTTAGACAAATGTAATGACAAGTTCTGGCATCGGCGGAAATCTCTGCGCAGTCTGAGTTGTGATGGGCAACCCCGCCCCCTCTCCACCTGGGCTAATTGAACTGGTGACAGAAGGGGACATGACCCTCGAGGCCTACACGGTTCATACTGCAGGCTTAGGATACCTGCACGAGTCAGATCGTCACGTTCTGCTGTTTGAGGCTCTTTGCCCGATGATATTCCTTCCTCCTGGATGGCAGTGGAGTCTGGAACGTTGTTGGGGTCCGTTATCGTTTCGGAGCAGAGTTTCAACAATAAATGGGCCGCCTGTATGTCATCACTGGTCATTTTGCTGGTGTCCGCTCCGGTCTCTAGGGCTGACTCCACGGGTGAAGAAGAAGGCTTTTCCATGATCTTGAAACAGATCGTAGCTGCGGTAGCTGGGATAAATGGAATTGAAAATACACCTTGATTTTTAGGTTAGCATCGAGGTAGTTGATATCAAGGAAATATATGAAGGTCGAAGAATGAATTTACTCAAACGACTCAGTGATGAAGGAAATCGTCTGCTGTTCATGCTATGATCAAAATATCGCCTAACGGCGGTATTTATACCTCAAAGAAGCCACATTGGCCGGACAAATTCGTTTCCCGAGATTAAATGCGACCGTCTATGTAATGGTAGAAAGTGCACTGTTCCGCTAGCTGCTGTGATATCGGGTAGATAATCTGTCCGATTGGGTCCTCAAGGCTTCGGCAGCCTTTGATGCTCTTTACGACAAGGTGTGGATTCTATCAACTCCAGTCTAGTTTTGGTCAACGAGCAGTTCAATCTCCCGATGACCTCTTGTACACCGAACTGAAAGCTAGCGCGATCATAGCTGACAGCACAGTCTGGCCTGGTAAAGCCTAGAATGCCGCACTCAAATCACCAACACACCTTAGACTACTGTGCCGAAGTCCTACAATACACTACAGTGGGATATTCTATGAATTGATTACTGCAGAACTATCAGGAGCTACTAACTTTCAAGTCTTCTTTGAAGCCAGTCTTATAAAGAAACCACATTTCACCTGGAAAGCCAGTGTCTTCTTTGTAGGGATTTATTTGTAGATGTAAACCACAAGAACCTGAAATGGCTTGGTAGTGCTCTACTGTTGGCTCCTTACCCTTCGTGAAGTTCGATTTCTGACAGAGCACAGGAACATCTACCGGCGTACTATCTTTAGCACACATTACGCAGTGTTGATCATGTATAGATAGTGCATGCGGCCGATTCTCCGACTAAGTGACCATACTATCATGCTTACATCACTTATGTAGACTATGAGGCATTCTTAGAATCTAAGCAACAATACCCAACCACCACAGCAAAATCATAGAATAGCTGTTATCTCAACGTCTACTGTTTCATATCGTGCGCCCGAAAACGCCTATCGCGCCCGTCAAAGCTATCACCATTAACTAGCAATCTGCGGATATAGGAGGAATATTGTTGGTGATTAATCAATGAGTTGTATAGGATTGATATATTAGAATCCTCATTGCTCTATCTGCTCAGGTGGTGAAGGCTTCTCTTATATACTTGCTGTAGATCTATAACAGCACTACTTATCAGAGCAATATTTGCAATATAACAATTCTATGCTGAGTTATTCATGCCAACATCGGAAGAACAGCGATATCCTGCTTGTCATTGAAGCATCGTCAAATGGCCAACGCCGAATATCGCTTGCTTAGCTCTGATATTTCGACAGGCTCGTCGTGCGTGACTTCCAATGTGCTAGTTACCAATATCTGACGAAGAGAGGTCCGGTGGTCTGTGTAACACCAAGGGCAATGTGGTTTACCACCTCTGCTAGTGTGCCAAGCCTCCAGTAAGCCAGAGCTCCCTGTACTAGGCACCTCATTATTGCTTCCACTCGTTGGTGAGCTCCAAACACAGGTTTTGTAGCTCCCGGTTAAGCCCGCGTGTGGTCTGATCGACCCCGGCGGCAAAAAACTCGTCAAGTTCATGGCGTGGGTTGTTGGGGAGGTATGTCTACTATTTCGTTTGATACGGTTGTGCTTTTTGGTCCTTGTTGTAGACGGCGTTCCGCCGCTCTGTGAGCACAAATTCGTAATGTGGAGCTTGATTAGCGCTCTGCGAAAGAGTGGCTTGAGTGTTGATAGGCTGCCAGCTGTGATGGCCAAGCCTTGCTCGACTTGTGACCATATTGCGATGTCCGTCGTGGCCCCTGCACCACGGCTTGTCAGTGGGATTGACATGCCAAGCGGGGGTTGATTTACACAGAAAGTCAGAGTCCCGAAAGCTCTGAACATAGGCAAGCCGAACTGCTACGGCACAGCTGGCTCTGTATTGATTATTAATAGCAGATACATGATTGTCTCTAGAATCATAGCAAGACTTACGTAGCTCCCAGACTCAGAATGGGAACTAGAGCGAACTTCGTTCTTTTATCCACCTGTAGACCCTTGACGAGCCACAAGGGAAGGAATGTGAAAGTAAAATCTGCGAAAATCGCAAATGTACTATACACATAAGTGGCACATATGATTGTGTCGATAGATATACAGGATCCGGTTCCGGCCAAGCGGGTCCAGAAGAATGACACGGGCAGGCATTGTAGCATGGCGACGAAGAAAAAGGCGACACTGATCAGTGTGGACACGCCCAGCGTTACGTAAATAGTGATACGCTGTGACCGAATTGGAGTCAGACGCAAGAGAAAGAAAGCAATGCTGGCCTTGGAGAAGATCATAGTCGCGCAGTACCAGAGGTAACAAAACCACCAGTTCTGTGACCACTAATTAGCCTGAAAACCCTTCTCATGCGAGCAGAAACTCACCTGCAAGGCCATTGTGATATCCGAGGCGGTCAAATCCACGGCGTGTTGCCCAGTGCCATGTGCGACGCCGCCGAGGCAGAATCCTGTGTGCAGCGTAAAAAAGAACTACCAGCATCAGCAACATTATTTGCCTTGAGAACGGGGAATGGCGGGATGAACCATGGCTATAAGCATAAGCCAGTCGTCGACTCCGAATGACTTGATCATCTTGGCTCTGACATATACTCGCAGCAACACGGATACCAAAGCCAGGCTGAACGTTGTCAGCGCGATACGTTGCACTTCAGGCCCCCGGTTTTCGTGACTCTCCATGGCCAAACTGAAATACCCAATATAACCAGAAGAAGTGATGGAGTCTTTTGCTATTGTAGTGAAGCAGCAAAAGATGGTGATCGAAAGTTCTCTGGAAATGCATTCCGGGTCTTTGATTATGTTGATGGCCTCGACTCGGATTCCATTTAACCATGGCAACCATGGCGCACTAAACGCCTTATTGGGCTCGCAGTAGAATTTCTGGGATTTCCATACATAATCCTGTACGGAACCGGTTCACAAGATAGATGGCGGCCAAAAGTGACCGTACTATACATATAGACCAGTACAGGAAAAGATCCATTTTGACAGCAATGAGACGTCAAGTTCCGGGTCTGAAGCTGAGCATCTGTCCCATGCTGTGTTCCTGAAAATGTCAGAAAGTTGAGCTCAAGACGCGTAATTCTTTTCGAACGTGCTCTTAAATGAACTCCAGCCTAAGTAAGACTGTGCTCAGTTGCAACTTTTCACAGGATTCCTTCACGTCATTGCGGTTCCAAGTTTTCCCACTGACGGAGGGGTAAATGACATCAACCGTAATGTCAAGCAAGAACAACTCTAGATTGCCGTATTCACCCATCGCACCGACGCTGATGGATATTGAAATATATAATTTAGGTGGCACTACTACGGCCCACGATACATCCACGAGCTATATGCAGTCCGCAAAAGCACCAGTGTCGCCAAAAGAACGTATAGTAGAACTCTCGCGAGAGAATGGAAGACTACGGCAAGAAGCTGCGTATTTTCGGGGACTTATTGATCAAGTGTCTCCACTGCTATCTGTTCTTCATTATCACATCGATGGTCTGGCCGAAACCGTGAAAAAATGCAACGATCACATCGTTGAGGCCAATACACGATGGGAGGTGGAGAAGGTTGAATGAGTGTATTATGTTATCTTGCCATATTCTGCGGAAGTGGCATTCGGACCGAGGCAACTTCGAAATCAGACATGGACTAGTCACAACCCCAAGGCGGATTTGAACCTCGACCGACTTGTTGGCACGTTTTTTCTGCAATCATCCATGATATTCGCATAGGACCAATTATGTGTGACCGGCTACGTTACATAGTATAACTAGCATCATCCAACTATATTATCCCGTACCATAATCTATTATCAGGAACACGTATAGTACGTCAGACTGGCGGACGGCACAAGTCTTTGCAACCTGAGCCTCCTGGCCATACTTCAGAATTCAGATAGTACGTGTCATCAACTTTCTCAACTGCGAACGTGCGAAATAGACCATTTTGTAGCTTGGGTATTGAACTGGGGTGGTGCTCCAGGGCCATATTCACCAAGTAACCCAACCTCAGACGACGCAGTCCTCCTCGTCAGTGTCGACGATTTGAACTTACATCGTACGTATGGCCAAAATAGACGTATAAATCGACGGTCGCCAAACCGAAAAGTTGTGTATAAAATTAAGAAATGCGATGATCTATTAAAATAACGGAAAAATGGAAGACTAAATAAATAGAACGCAATTACACAGCCACAAATATAGCCACGTTTTAACAAGCCACACCTTTATACCACGTCCCACTAACCCGAGCTCAGTATTTGAAGCCACGACGCTGTTTCTTCATTTACGGCACTTGTATCATATCTGCAAGTCAAATATTATTATACGATCAATATCAATAACTTCACACGCAAAACTAATGTACTGCAAGTATATAGCAGAAAATTCATGAAAGAGCCTTCGCCCATAGAGCAGATAGTACTAACAAGCCCAGAATGATCGTTCAGTCGCCCCTTGATTAGTCACCATTTTCTAATACTTCTACAAGCTCTGATCAACTCGTGCGAAGGTGCACACCACGTGCAAAACAAATCTACTAAATACATGAGCATTCCAACCTGTCTTCTCCGAATAGCAAAGTCCAGTCAATGCGTTTAGGAGTTCTCTGGGTCTTGAAAGATTTATACACAGCAAAAGTGATTTATGAGTTCGACCGATCGCACGCAAGATATTAGAAATCAGAAATCAGTTCCTAAGACCATATGGTCCCCATCAGATCAAGGACTGACGACTTTCTCACCCGGCCACGGTTGGTAGGTTGTTGGAGGAGGACGATTGGGTGTCCAACTACTGCCAATATCCTGTGGCTGTCTATTACCCGGAGTTAAAGCCTCGGGTACTTCTGGTCGGCTGAGGTCGGGTACGGCTGAGTTCATCCGCTGAGGTTCCAATCTCCTGTGCAGCGGATGAAGGGATTCAGGTGGAGGCGGCCACGGGACTGGCATGACGTATTGAAACTTGGGTTCTGTAGACGACCGGTCATTCTTCTGGGTCTCAGTAGTCTCTCCTTCATGAGAAGTGTCGCCCGGTTCCGACTTTATGCTGCAATTCGCCTCATTACGGACTCTGGTCTTGCTCATAATAGCCAATACCAGCAGCATCCCGGTAAGTAAGATCAAAATGGCAACTCCAACAACCAAGCCTATCAGCAAGCCTGTGATGATGTTTTGATTGGCTCCATCATTGAGTACTGTTGTAGAGTAATAAGATACGTTCGGCGAAGCAGTTGCGTTGAGGATCGGCTCTGGCGAGTCCATGAATTCTGATATACTGGGCTGATTGAGAGATGTCGTTACGTCTCAGGTTTGGTGTCCTCTGGAGATCAGCAGAGTACCGGAGCATTGGGACGCTCAAAATTCCTCTTTCGGTGTGGCGAAGATGTCAGGTGTCTATATATACCTATGGAAACACTAGCTTAGTCTAACTTCCTCATCAAGATAAAGTCATATTTAGGATCTTACGGCACGATATTCTGAATACAGTGCCTTAACGTACGTACCATACATACTGTATCTACGGCCATTTTAGTCATCGTTGACGTTTTGGTCTTTGGTCCATGTTGGGATCAGCGCTGAGATAAGATGATATCACAAGCAACGGAAACGGCTTCCGTTCGCCGCCCCACAAGGGGTTTTTTTTTTTTACAGTCATTTCTTTGGTGTAGGGACTCGTTTCCTGACGAACTACGCGGTCCAAAAGCGTCAAAATTCATCTCCAACAGGTGGATGCTTCTGTTCTGGTGAGCATGCATAATTCCTTGGCAAAATTTGCGTGCAGTGGGAATTCAAAGAAACAAACAGATCCAGAAGTGGCTACCGACAAAGAGCGGCTGACTGCCTTGACTGACCCACACAGGAAGCCGTTTTGGCTGACGTGCGTAAACAGACGTTGTTGTGTCACTGCTCCATTAATGACTCGCGCTAACGGCTATTAGTGATGCAGTGAGTCTCACTAGACAAAAAGGAGCAATATAAAAGGGCCACAATCACCGTCATTGGGATAATCTACGCTAATGTTCATGCCGCTGGAGTGTAGAGGAGCGGCGACAATGTCCACTTGTACACATTTTGAATGGCTTTGCCCTGTGCTTCGCGAATCTCAGCTTTGGCTTGAAGTAAGCGACAGGTTTGACAAGTTGCTACGCATTCTTCCAGAACCTTACAACATACTTCCAAGCCCGATTCTCTTTATCGGAGGTGAAGATAAAGGGGCTGCGCTGCATGAGTTCGGAGTGCAAGGTTCTCGTTCTGGAGATTTTGAAGGGTTTGGGAATGTTTGGTTGCACGATCCCCTGACCTTGGCTTCTCGAGACGGAACGTTGACAATTTTTGCTTTGGACGCGGACATCTGCTCCAAGATTCGATCAGTGGTGGCCTTCCCTGATACAAGATGTCATGAGGTCAAATTCTATCAATCTGCGCCGGGTTTCGAATTCAAGAGTGCTTCTGAAGCAATTAGCCAAATGTACCATAGATTGCTCTTTCCGTTGGTAGATGCAGTCTGCCTCTTTATTGATGACATGGGAGGCCTAGACTGTGTTGGAGAGCGGCTTGCTACCTGGATACATGATTGCGGTAAATCACCCTCCCGAAGCGGGCCCTATCTGTTTCTCATTTTCGATGCCGTCGACTCCACCACCGAGGCCAAAGTCAGGGGGTTTTTCAGAAGGAAGTACCAGAAGGGGGTACTCCCGACGTTCAGGGGCTATCGTATCTTCAGCGCCTCTCGTGTACCTCAGACAAGGCAAGCCGCACGACAGGGTAGCCCTTGGTCAAGACTACGTGGCGAAATCATCAACTGTCTCAATTCGGTAAGACGTAGTCGACTAAGAGAAGGGATGTTGTTCTCAGTGCCACACCTGCTTCAATTCTTTTATGAGCTCGCTCAAAGGCTACCTGTCGCCGAGAGACGAGTGATCGACTTTGTGAAGATAGCTCGGACGAGCCATCCTGTCGCAACCGATTTGGAACAACATTTACTTGAAGCTCTTGTGCCATTTAACACACCTGAAGCCCTGAAATCAGTAGCAATACCGATGATTGTCTCGAGTTTCATTCTTGACAGCTACCCCCCGGGGATGCATCGTAGGTCTTGAAATCCCACGAAATACCACCACTAATTAATGCAGGATTCCATCTCGGTGAGATTTACAACTCTCTGTATCGCGAAAGCTGTCGGCAAGCATTGGTCAAATGGTCGCAAAAAAGGTCACCAGAATCGTACATGGTTGTATGCAGGATGCTCAATTTTGTTAAGTGCGAAATTGACCGGCAGTTCCAACAATTTCGTCGCATAGGGTCCGCCGCTGAACAACATATCAGAGTTTTGCAAAGTTTTCGGCATAAGTGGCCTCCCATGAGATCCGATAGCACTTGTCTCGTTTGCATACGTCGTCGACCTCAGTTTTGTCTCCCATGCAGTCATTGTATTTGCGAAAATTGTGTGCGGATTTTCGGCGAAAGAGCTGGGCGTGACCTCTGGACATATATTATTAAGGAATGCCTTCTTTGTGGAAGAGAAACAGATGATTTCAAAGTTGCCGTGAAGCCCGATACAGCCGGTGTCAGAGTTCTGAGTATCGATGGTGGGGGCACAAGAGGCAGAGCGCCTCTGGAATTCCTCCAGGCGTTGCAGGATCGACTAGGGCTTCCATACCCATTACAAAGAAACTTTGACTTGATTTACGGTACAAGTTCCGGTAAAGTCACGGTCCTCGGTTAATAGACTAATACTAACATTGTGAAGGCGCTATCATTGCTGCAGTACTCTATGCTCATAACTGGCGGATCGAGGACTGCACCAAGTATTTTCAGTTGTTCGCACGTAAAGCGTTTCAGCCACGGTGGTGGTGGCTGCGGATACCCATTCTCTCTACAGTGTTTCAAGTCCTGACTTCCTTCCTCCTCGATAGTCGATATTCGAGCGAAAGCCTCGAGATCATTTTACAAAGAATTTTAGGATCGCGGAGTATTATGGCTTTCCCTTGCGCTGCTGCCTTTGGGACCAAACTTGGTATTCCTGTTACGACGATTCGTGATGCAACCGCTTGCGTCTTCACCAGTTATAATGGAATAGGTATTAGGAAACAGGGCCACGGTAAAACATTTCATCGCTCCCTTAGTATCATCTGACTAATCAATGCTAGCATCCGACTACCACATTCTTAAGCCTTCGGGCGGCATGGGTCAGATACCACTATGGGAGATGTAAGAAACATTGATCTTGGCCATATATAAGCTGCTAACTTAAAATAGTGTTCGATGTAGCACGGCAGCACCTTAGTATGGTATCTATCTCATTGATTCAGAATTAAGCCATTGACATTATCCAGTTACTTCAAACCTCGACACATCAAGGGTTTAGGTACGTTTCAGGATGGTGGACTCATGTTCAACAATCCTGCATCTATAGCCTTAGAGGAGACCGCTGCCATATTTCCCCTCTCAGCGGAGCCCAGCCTTGTTGTTTCCTTGGGTACCGGTTCAGCCAAACCTAGAAGTCCAACCACTATCGATCCGCCACATTTCTTTCATGACTCTTTCCCTGCCAGAGTATACCGAGCCTTTTGGAATAGCAGCAGTTCGAGGCGAGCTTGGCAACAATTAATGAATCACAAGAAGCTCGGTGATAGTAGCGAGTTCTTTCGCTACGACCTTGAGTTCGAAGGAAATGGACCAGGCTTGGACGATGTCTCTGAAATGGAGGAAGTTGGCCGCCTCGCCCGTGAGAGCATACAGACATCTCCAACACTTCCTAAACTGGTTCAACATATCAGGGCCCAGCTTTTTGTCTTTGAGTTATCTTCTTCTACGCCGATTACGTACTGTGACGGAAGATTACAGTGCCGCGGACAGATCCTCTGTCGTTTGGCATTCTCGACAAAGGAGTTGAAAGTCTTCTTATCGCAACTTCAGAATAAGTCTGCGTCGTTGAGAATTATCAATAAAGCACTGCCTCACTGCTTCCAGGATCCAATACCCCAACAGGCAGGCATAGGGTTCTGCATAGAAGTACAATTCACAGTTGCCAGTCGGACCGAGCCTTTTTCAATAGTACTCTGTGAGGAAGAGGGGATGGAATGCAATATCAGCGGGTCACCATTCACACTGCAGAGTTTGTTACGGCAGCAGAACATGGAATCTTGGTTTGGCACCGCTGATCACAGAAAACGTCGCCTTGAAGCAAGCTACGAGGGTGGTCGG